GTGAATTTCTTTAGCTAGCTTTACATGAAATCATGGGTTTGGATTAATGAGCCGTTTTTCATTTCAACTGTCCTATCAAACACCTACTCATTAGTCAGCAGCTGAAAGTGTTAGGAGAATGCTCTACATCTGTCACTGGCAGCATTTCCTACCAAACTTGTTTCCACTGAAGCTTGGATGGAATCCATAAAAATAGGCTTTAAAACGTGGCATCGTCTTATTTTCTAGGTTCTAACCTGTCTGTTCAGAGTTTAGAGTTTAACGTACCTTTTACTGTGCCCTTATTTACAAGGAGAAAGTTCACTCCTTTGCATAGGTCTTCATCATAATCAGATCTAGACATTTTTGCCATTGCACTGCACGTATCCTTTCATAAAACCTCTACTAATCAAACACTGAATGCACTATTTATACATATAAATACAAGTGAGCGTTTGCTGGATAACTAGTGTGCTCTCAAGTTTTTATTCTTAAATATAATTTTTGTGCTTCAGTTCTCGCAAATGACTTGCGTGACTTACGTAATAAGGCAATTGTTTGCCAATTCTACTTCTAATCAATCTTTCCTGTACTAGAAGGAGTAAATGCTATCAGTTTTTCAACATGTGAGGTACAGTACTATCTTTATGCTGCTTCTACATGTCTCTTAGGAACCCTTTAAGGGGGGGGTCGTATGATAGTCCATACCTGTTTCATTTATCCATGTGAGGGTTGTTTGTTTGCTTGTTTTAATCTGCATGTTTGTTTTGATAGTTAGGCATTGACATGGAGTTTACAGCCTTAGTTTCCTTGAAGAGCATTTCCTGTACACTGTCCTTTGGGCTTGAGTCAGAATATTGTATGAGAGGTCTAGTGACCTTTCTATCGCTGTAGCTTCTCCTTCAGAGTGTGTAGTATCCAATGACGTTTTGCCTCTAAAACAGTGACTTTACTGTCCTTGAGTTACCTTCTGAGCTCCTTGGTCAGGGTTGTGAAGAGATCCTAATTTTCTTCATCCTTATGTCATCTGTGAGAATGATATGCTTTGCTTGGGCTGCAATTAAAAAAAAAAAAAAAAAGTCTGTTCCCATCGCTTTTCTGTGTGATTGTCTGGTGAAGCAGATAAGAGTTGACAAGGCTCAAACTAATTATTTTGTTTTCATTTTAACTCTGATCCATCTCCTAATACAGTTCAGGCATGCATCTGTACAAGCCCTTGCACTGGTTCAAGGGTGCAAGGATTTCACGTGGTTAGGACCTCAGGACTCGGAAGAGGTGGGAGTGTAGTGATAGCTGATACAGACTTAGTTCAGCTTAGACTGCCATATAACAGGTTCTGGGTTAACAGAAAACCAGCCTGACAAAAACAGTAAGGGGCTTTCTGTTGCGTTAGTGGACTCTAAACCTGCTCTGCCACAGATCTGACGACCGCTGGAGAAGATGGAAGCAGAATAGAGCAGGTGGGAATGCAGGAACGGCACTGACGCCGTCTGCGTCTGGTCTGGCTTATGTTGCTGAGGAATATCAGCTTCAGTAATGATGGAACTCTGCCTTTTAGTTGCCTTAGCATTCAGACTAGAAAAACAAAAACAACCCTCACTTGTTCTGAAAGGTAAATGACTTTGGACAAGGGGTCCTCCTGTAAATAGATATTCATCCAAGTTTAATTTTCCTCTGTGTTGTTGACTTTGTCGCTGGTAGTTAGTATAATTTTTGATTCTCTTGCAACAGAAGTGTCTTCGTGCATTTCTTCAAGCACTGTCTTCTGCCTCCCACTGATATTCGTTAGCTCCGTTCCACTGGCTGTGTTATCCTTTCCCTCCCCATTAGTAAATCAATTCCTAACTACTTTTTCTTTGTGATCTTTTTCCAAAATGAAGTTGCTCAAAATAATTCAGCTTCAGTAAATGTTTTCCTTTGGCGTATCAAATCTTTTAAGGCTGAAACAAAGGGGGGCTATACAACGATAGCTAGCTAGCAGAATGTTCCTCTTTATTTGTAAAACTGGTAAGAAGATACCAAATTTTGTAAAAGAGAGAAAGGTCTTGTAAAGATTTAAGTTCTGCAACTCCGTTCGTGTTCCATAAGAAAGAAACCAGGAATATATTGAATAATGACTATTTAAACCAGTTTTGTGGTAATTTAGTAAGCCTTGGCCTCTGATGTAAAGGAGTCCTTCTAGGAAGAGGAGGAAATGTGAACAGGATCTGGAAGTTTCACAAGAGAAAACATACTTGAATGTGACTTAGTGCTCCCCTGGTAGTACTGCTAGCACTACAGATGTCACGTTTACTCTCTTTAGTGAAGAACAATGTGGGGGGAGGAGGGGGAGGGTTGACTTCTTAAACCGTTACTCAAATTTTGCAAGTGAACATCTGACTACTCAGGCTGTGCTTTAGCATGTATAAAATAGGAAACCGCGCTGTAACTAAGGTAATGTTCCCTGTTTGCTCTGTTGTGTTCCAGTACAGTAGTTAAGTTTTGTGTCATTGTACTAGCAGTTTTCATACCTATTTTAATCTTTGCATGGAGTCTTGAAGAGAGAGAAGCAGCAGTTGAGTATTAGAGGAAAGACAGAAGTGGAGAGGAGGGGAGGATGATACAGAGCAGCTGCCTTTAAAGATGTGGTTACTAGATAAACCAGAGTTTTAAACCCAATTTCACTTTCATGATACTGAGGCTTATCACTATGGAACAGTTTAATTTCACTTTAGATATGGAAAAGAAACCAGATATGTTTACAAAATTCTGTATATGAAAATAACGTTTAAAAAAAATGAGCAAACCTTTTCCGTTTTTTTCTTCCTTCATCCATCAAGATCTTGTAGATTATCTTGTCGTTTGAGGTCAGCCTTGTTTTTTGTTTTTAAATCTAGTTTTATTAAAAGGCTGTGACAGTCTTTGTTATTTAAGACTAAAACTTCACATCTAAGGTATGTCCTTAAAACATAAATACTAAATACTAGATATAAAATAGTAATACTAGATGTAAAATCTGATACTTTTGAGAATTTCATGAAATAAACCTTTCATGTTTCGCCTAGACTGGAAGGACATGCAACTTGGATCTCTATTGCTGTCTACTTAGAGAAAAGATTTTAAAAGGCATCAGCAGCTCATCTAGTCCATTTTACTGTGCTCAAAAGCAGGACGAGCTATGTTTATATCATTCCTTATGTTTGTCCAACAGTGTTTTACATTATTGGATGGATAGTTTGCAGTATTTTGTGCTTCACTATGCTTATTGTGAGGGTTTCATTTAGTATCTAAATCTTCCTTGCTGTAGTAGGAATTTACTGTCTATAGTGAACGTAGAAAAGCTAATTCTCTTCCTATTTACGGCTTAAAATACTTGGGATACCCTCAGTCTAGTCCTCTATGCCAAAAACCCCAAAGCATGTTGTGGGGTTGCTTTGGTTTTTGTTTTCTGGGGTTTTGCTTGTTTGGTTTTGCTGCCCCCTCTGTTCCCTCCCCCCTCCCCCCCCAATAAGTAATATTTTTTAGATTGGTCTCCTTTGGGCTTTCTCATTGGGTTTACATCCTTTTTCAACTGTGACATCCAAAAGGTGCTACTTCATATCAGGCCCTGTTGGCAGTCAGTCAGCAAATCTAATTAATTTCACCATGCATGTTATGGGTAATATTCCAGCCTTATATATCCTAGTTGGTCTTTTCCCTTTGTCCAATTCAATAATATTTAGTGCAGCTCTAACGCACCTATGACGTTGTTTCCTTGTAGCGTGGTACCATTTCCCAGCCAGGTATGCATATGCCTGGTAATTTGCTTTTGTTCCAAGTTTTCATAAGCAAATTGTGTGATTTAAAAGTCTCTTCCTCTTTTTTGATGCACACCTTTCTTGAGCAGATATAATTAGGATAGTGTTGTTAGATTAAGTAATTTAAATATTTAAAGGTGCTGTTCCTGTGCAAGTAGAGCATGGCCCATTTCTCCGAACGTCCCTCCCAGAGGCGCAGTACATAGGAGAGGCAATGATCTTTGAAACAGCTGTTAGTAAGCAGACGTGTTCAAATCTCATATGATAAAGAAAGTGTTCCCTACAGCTGTGTTACATATGCCTTAAATAACTTAAGTAAAAGGTTTAAAAATTGTTTTGCAACTTTTCAGTATTTCTGGGATTTTACAGCAAAAACTGTTCTTCTTGTATGCTTATATACAGTGATATATTGGTTCAGAGTAATGCAGTACTGTGTTCTTAAATTTTTATTTTAAAATGTTACTGATAATTATTGAAAATTTTAAGAGAAACGCTGAGTTTTGCAACATTCACATTTTGCAACATTAGATTAAACTTAAGACAGCTCCACTCTTAGCTTGAATTATTAGACGTTCTAAAATGTCAAACTTAACAATAAGCTTTCCCATGTGCTGTTTTATAACTACTTGCTAATACGTTTGTTATGAACTAAAACATACGTAATACACATACACCCCCATGTGCATACAAATGACATTGAGTAGTCGAACCGCTCGTATTTCATGCTGACTTCAAGATTTCTTTTAAAGACCTATTTTTACATGAGCCACCTTATAATATGGCTTTTGAAAATTAGCGTTGCAGGAGATGCTAATACAAGTATTTTTCACTGTTAAGTCGAACCCTTATTTGGTGATTCTTGGCAATTCTATTAAAAGAAACCTTAAACTTTTGCTCTTTAAACGAAAAAATATATATATATGCACCGTTTCTAACAGGTGTGCGCTGAACGTTATTTGGGGGGGGGGGGGGTGGGGATAAAGAGCAACAGCAAAATCACCCCGGTTA